ACTTGTACATTTCGGGTGAACGACAGCCACTGACCGATAAGAACAAAACCGACCCGGGAAACTTGGGCAAAAGCCTCGATCCTGTGTAACAATCCGTGAATCCGTGCACAGCACCCCCGAGGTAGACGAAGATTTCATGGACAAACGGACCAGGAGAAGAGCATAACTGGATTTTTTGCAGAGGCATACATTTATGATACCCGCAGGCATGGGAATCGTGACATTGCATTCCGCGTTTTACACTCCAGGGACTCCCATTTCGTCCACGTGTGCTGTGGTACGCCAATGGCTGTAGGTTAACGCAGCCTGCAATCACCTGGACCATGACTGGGACTTAGTGAGCGAATCTCAGAAATCGAGCGCAATACGACGGAGATTTTACGCGCAAGTTATGCTGAGATGAAAGCCTCAACAAATTGATAAGTGCTAACTCTGTGAACAGAATAAACAACGAAAGAATTATTCCAAAATATTTTTGAGACAAGAAGTAAGCAAATTCGAACGTACCGCACTTATCGTAACTATCAGGCTACTACAGATGCGCACTGCTGATTGTAAGGCTCTAACCCTGGATGATTGCTATAGCCCTCGTTCAGCGAAGGTTTTTCATCATCATGAGCGCATGCGTTTTTTCTCTGCCATTCACGCGCCTGGAGATCGTAAACCCACTATTGGCCACTGTCCCTTTGTATTTATTTGTTGCACCAACACAACCTCGATGGTAGTACTTCCGTTTGTTCCTTTCCGTAGACAACTTCGAATCGTCGACCTTCCCCAATGGAAAAAAGGTCAATCCTGAAGGCGAACTCATAAAACCTGTCCAGGAGCTGAACAGTTAGTCAAATTTTCAACGACGAAAAATTGGTGTCCACACACCGGTATCGTATACTTTATCCGATACAGGTGAACCTAAACTGAATAGAATATTGACAGTTAGTTGTAATCATGGTCATAGGTCACGGTCCACACTAGATTGTTAGGATTCACTGACCTCAGGTTTCTTAGTGGCTCATCCACCGATTTCGCCATAGCAACGAATTGTTGAGTGGGTTGGAATTTGACGTCGAATATGCTCCGTAGGAACAGAGGATTAAACTACAGAAATATTGGGAGACATATATGGAAGTATTCCAAAATTAATTCAACAGTCTCATAAGCGTGTTCAGCATCGCAACATCTATACGGAGCTCCATTAGCATTGCTTACTGCCATTTACTTTGATGACGAACGTCCTCAAAATATCGAAACGGGCTGTCCAGATCACTGATCGAATACTGGGTTAGAAACAGTTGTTCGCACAATTAGTTGGACTATACAGCCTTTGGACCTGCGTGTCTTTGCAATCGCCGCAGAACCCCGGCAAAACAATGTTATGTTTGTGGAAAGTAACTGCTTCCAAATGGCCTGGAGTAGTGAAACTAACACAGCTTTATGTGACACCCCAACACAGCCACAGTGGCTCACATCTATGATGTTATTTTTCCAGCACGACATAACACAGGCAGTAGCGTCCGATCCTCACATCTTTGAACAAGTTGAACGGCCTCGCAGAGACACGATATGCTCGCCTCCCGCTGAAGCACGGTCGACCCCCGTGTCATACGTTGGAGGGTTGGCGTTCGCTTGTACCCACACGGGAATCAAAATACTCTAAATGTATTCACCCATGACTAAGTAGTGCATGACCTCAAAGTTTACAATATCCAAAAACGCCCAAACCGATCTACATGTTCTCTGCGGGTTAAACTTCCGCAGCTAAAATGGCCACCGTTAGATTGTTCCAAAAGTTCACGGTCACACTCGTAGAGGCTTGCGAGAACCGATGACATTTCAATTTCCCAAGTTAATGTTCACATCGACATACTCGACAGTGGGGGTAGGTATTTAGCACGGTAGCTGCATGCATTTTCGGTGATTAGCATCTATCCAAATCCAGCTGAAGCGTATGACCAGAACTTCGAAAACAGAGTCTCGTAACTCGGTAAATTGCCAGGCACTTTAAAATTTTTGGTATATCATGGGTAGGTTCATGCGGAGCCTGTCTTCAAGAGACTTGCCCGTTGGGCGGTTGTGCACCAGATGGTAAACTGTCGAGGAGCAGCTATACCCCCAAAAATAAAATCTTAATGAACACCCGGGAAACCCTGTTTTGTATGCGGTAAAGAAATACGTCAGACTTATAAGCTTCAGCGAAACCCTCGAACATGGCTTCGTCGGTCGGGACGCCTCCTGCAGCGATCGAAAACTTATTCCTCAAATGCTACAAATGACTAATAATTTTGTGGTGGCGTACGCGCGCAGCGTATTTACGGTTTATGAATATCTACGAAGCGTTTCCATGCGCAATAAAGAAGAATAAAATAGAGGAACTAACCTCTCCATGTCATCTTCCACTTCGGATACCACCCGAATACACTGAGCCATGCTAAATACACGACCAGTACAATCACCAATGCGTTCAAACAAAGTTAAAAAACTGAATGTTTAAGGATATTGTAGGGCTTTGAAGAAATGCCGTTAAATGCAACAGTTTTGTGTAGAACTGCATCGCTCGAACTAAAACTTCTTATAGACTTTGAGCGTACGTCTAGAGTCCGAGAACGAGCCCTAAGGAAAGTAAATAAATTTGGAAGCTGCTGGTGAAAGTGTAGGAACAGCAGCTTGCAGAATACGGACTGTAGGCGCAGGCTTGTGAGAAAAGTATGTGCATCAACCGGCGTGTTTGGCTCGCTTAAATCAAGCTCTTACACTAGGCCTTTTTAAAGTCAGCCGCCAATCGCAGAAAAACTCGGCTGCCTCTGACCCAACTTTAATCGTTAGTAATCTAGCGCGCTACTTCATTCCACAGTATCAGCCGTATCATCCGTCGCAAATTGCAATTTGTGCCGCCAACCCCATTCCGCCCACCGAAAAGTGAGTGGAGAACCATCACCTTTATTCTAGCTAACACTTCAAGCCATATCTCTCGATCCAAATCCGTGAGCCTCCGGTCTCCTGGTCATGTAGAAACCCATAAACCATAATATGTTGCATTTGTTTTAACTACCACACTGTTTTGGGCGCCAGAGGATGACGTCCAGGAACGACGGGATACAGCTGCTGTTGCAGGCTGAGAAGAGTGCCAGCGAAAAGGTGAATGAAGCTAAGCGACGTAAGTTAACATATATTCTGTAGTATGCACGCTGTGAAAATACCTTGGGGCAGCGATTATTCGAGGGAAGGGGCTCACGAAAAGTTTTTTGTCGTTTCATGAACCGGAACCCCCTAAGCAATACTTGCTTAAAAACAATGCAAATGGTAGGGACTGTATATTACAGTCATAATAATAAAATGTGGTAGTGTGCTCGGGCATCGCTGTGGTACTGGATGTATTTCACGCATCCACGGATTGATACACAGGATCGAGGCTTTCGCCCAAGCTTCCCTGGTCGGGTTAGTTCTTGTCGTTCAGCAGCCCAGTCACCTGTAAGGCATGAGCGAAAAAGTGGTGTGGACCTTTTTAGTTCTCAAGGCCCGGCTGTAATTTTTCCAGTGCAAGGACTCAACCAAAATGGCGTCTAGGAGTGAGTTGAGTAGGGTACTTTGTGCAGCCTGGACAATCCATGCAGGAGGGCTATTCCGCGCACCAAAAGCCCGGAATGAGGAAAAAATTTTGCCCAGTATGGTGTGCACTCAGCTTGAAATTGTTTCTTGAAATGTCCACCGTATTAGTTGGCTGAACAGCGGAAAACCTGTTAATCAAACTTTGTTCAGACAGCGCATATTGGATATCTTCCAGGGGAAATAGGTCAAGCACCACGAGACACGTTTCATAATCCACGGACTTGAGCCCGGCAACCATTTTTGTAGCAGATGGTTCGACGCGCTTGTTGGGAGTTACGTCCTTAGTAGACAACTTGGTTGGCATATTCAAAAAGCGGTCTGACATAGGCCCCGTAGAGTATTTGGAAGTCCATGCGAGCAATACGGGAGAATGTGCATCGAATCATCTGTAGAACGGTGAATGTCTTTTGAGTCGCTATTTCATGGCGCAGTGAGAAGGACGTGTTTGAAGAAAACCAGATAGCTGAATCATTTTGTTATCTATTCTTGTGGTTTCCTGTGGTTCATTCTCACTATGCACCATCAGCGTTCTTTGATACATTTTCATCAATGACCACACAAAAGCAGGAGGGTGTCCCCTATCAGCTTTACCGAATCAGCAAGACGGCTGGTCCTTTCATTTTTGGAGTCGCTTTTCCGCTTCCTCTATGAAAGATCAGTGCTAGCATCCCGCCTTAATCTCCTCTCGTAGTTCCACTTTGACAACTGAGATCCTATGGGACTTATTTCAGTTTTATCGGAACCTAATCTGCAACCATGTCTTCAAACCAACAGTTTGATTCTAAAATTCACAGCCTTCCATACACTACAGCGTATTTAGACGCTGAAATGCCCCAACATCCCCAGCAAAACCTCCATTGTGCAGTCCGGCTGCTGAGTCAGGGATGTTGGATGATGGCCCTGGTCGTCGGCGAGTCTAGCTTTGGGTGCTGATGCAATATTCTAGCCTACATGCACAGGCAGCCGTAGTCACACGGCCAGATGTAATGTGCATCGTCAACGGTCGCGCGGTGTGACCACCGGGGCTGCTTCGCTTCCTACGTTAGAACGGGTTAGCGTTTACTGACCTCTCTCGTCCATGGGTTGGTCTTGTGTAACTCTCTCCAGTGATAGTGCTCCATCCGTTAGGACTGAAGACCTTTGTATGGCTCTTTGCTTGCAGGTATGCACGTCAGTTGGCGCGGCTGGCGATGACCTGAATGTCGATCTCTCCGAACCTCAGGTCGGTTCAGTTCAGTTCATCGTAAAACTTCGTTGAGTTTTCGCGGATTATTTGAGGAACATTTTTCATTTAGCCACCATCTGAACACGGAGAATTTCGCAGATGTGTGCGGATCACGAATTGTTACTTTGTAATGCCGATTTCTGTGGAAGTCATTTTACGTGACGCTTGCCAACGAACCATCTCCGACTGCAACTAGGCGACATCGCTATCAGTTACCACCAGCGCGGATTGGTTGTTACCGGTTGCTCGTTTTCGACTCTAACCATGCAGTCGCTTGCTGCCACTTCTTTAACTTCCAGGTCTACGCTAAATGCGCACACCTCAATTTGCCATTGGGAACCTCATGAATCCAGAAATAATTCAAACCTATTAGAACCGGCTCCTCCCACGCCAATCTGCTGGTCCGTCGTCGGGTGTTAACGATCACTGAGAACATATGTCCAAAGCGCCACTCAGTGCCGAAAATCTTAACTATGATGCAAACCAGCCAGCCTCATTCAGTCGTTGGACTTTGATAAGATGATGGCCTTTTGGAGCGTCCGGTTACTCTCCTCATGGACAAAACTGCAACCCACCTCGGTGCGTTATCTGACGCAAGGTGAAACCGAGTATCCGTGCAGACATGAAAGCTTAGTTTATTCGAAAAGCTGAGGAAACAGAAGATTCGAAAAATACCGAAAATATCCGCACCACATAAACACTCGATATGTGAACGGCTGCCGCCACTAATTGACACGGATGCCACATGTCTTCGAAGGATGAGCATAATTCAGACAGAAGCACTATAGGGCATCAGTTCAAGCATGGTCCGCGCGTGGACAGAGAAACTTAGTGAGATCAACGAGATCTGAAAATGAAAGTGGCTAGTGCGGACGAGAACCTTTGGAAGTTTTCACGGGACCGAAAAATCGTCTGTAAGTTTCTAAAGGGTGATATCTGAAAGTTAATGCACTGGTCCGGCACGAAGAGACTGAACCTGAACGTGGTGTGACGGCTTGTGTGACCCGCTGAGCTGTAGTGGAGGAGGTTACCCGTGCGACAGCCTCATACCAAACCTTGTGCTTTCAAGCCAGGTGCTTTGGTCAATGACACTAATCATCGTCCTTAGTGTAGGCGCCGTGGCAGTATAAATATGGTATAAATGTATATGATGTGTGGTATATAAATATGGCAGTATAAATGGTACCTACAAATGACATCACTTTCATGCCACATCGGCCATCCCATGGTATCATCAACCGGGTCGCCTTGCTGCACACAACAGTGTAGGTAAGCGAAAAAATATAAGTAAGCGTTCTACTGTAACACCCTTTCGATGTCTAGCCGCCATGCCACTCGAAAGAAACACGAGAGCTGGGATATGCCAGGTTGCACAAGCCCAGACAGAAGTCGAGATGTAGAGGTCTGGTTCGAACCACGGACCTTCCGCTCACTAAATTCGCCCTCCTACTACTAAGCAAAAGCAACATACTGTTGACGCCTCACTTTGTTTTATTCTGCATGCTCCTCCTCCATTCCTTCCTTGCAACATCTTGAGCCCATTTTCAAGAATTCAAACCTATTCGCTTTCCTTCACCGTCTGATGCAGTATTTATGGTTAAACCGGACGCCCAGTTTATCTAAGGGCCTTTACCGTTCGCGGTTAGAAACATGCTGGACAATCGGCTGCTTTTTCGCGTACGCCGGACCCGCTTCCGATTGATGTGTGCTGTTTCAGGAATGAGGATTCAAGCCCTCAATACGGTTGATCGCCTGATGTACCTACCGGTTCGCATTGTTCTAAGCCACCAAGGTGAAGATTGTGGTTGAACGGTTGCCCGTTGGTACTCATCTCTGATCACTTCGGACAACCTCTGTAAGAGTATCTCATAATCTCATCAATACCTGCTGACTGTTCATCGTCCTTGCCTACGCCACAGCACACAGTAACTCTGATACATTCGGAGACAGTTTTTGCGGGAGTTTCAAAGCCTTGTTGCGGTGGGCTAAGAGCTTAGTTATTGCCGGGTATATGAACACGGTACGGATTCTAAATGGGGTGTTATTGGAGCGGACAATGGCGAACGCCTGCTGCAGTTATGTGCAGTACTACCGAAACAACCCAAGCCGCTTCACCGCATGCCCTCCGCACTCGAGCCGACCTGAAACACACGTGGCCACCAACTATAGATGAAGTGGGTCAATCACTTGTTATTGCTCGTTCTGGAATACCTGTGTAGATTTGAACCGCACACTTGTTGATGCTTCTCGTTGCGTTTTTGAGAGCGCATGAGGTACGCACACCTGTCTATTCAGAAGCTCTCCGTTCTTCATGTGAATCAAACCTACCAAACTCATACTGGAATCCTTTTCGGTCAACACGTATTACTGGAACTACTGTCCGCAATCCTACAAGATGCTAGGCAGCCGTCTGTGGAACGTTGCGACCAACCACATTCAGGTTCTTGATCTCCAGTGACACTAGAATTGTTCGAAGCTCGGATACGTATTCCTCTTGGTCAATGGTACAATACCGCTCGACGAACTCGGAATTCAGATGGAACTAAACATCCGCGCGGATCGAGAGGCTTGGAAGATCCAGAAGGCCGGAGAAATGGATGAGACGAGAAACCCTGGAAATGTACTTCAGCCGTTCCAGGTGACAAGCGCAACGTGTCCAAAGAAACCTCCAGTGAGCAAAAGCCACTGGTAACGAAGGCTCAGTTATTTGCAAAAAGGCACCCTAAACGTTGGACTGAACACCTTCAGGAACAATCTAACTGACCACCTGCTGTTGCGGCCTAATAGAGATTGCGTTACCCAATCTTCACGTCAGGTGTTAGTATAATGCCACAGTTTTAATATTCTTGAATCTACAAGCCGCATTCGATTCAGTTTACCAGTCTGTTCTCCATGACACCCTTGCCAAGTGAGGAATTCCTCGGAAATAAATGAATGTAATGAGTTTTTATTCCGTCTTCCGGGCATGTTAGAGCGTACGAGAACTCCAGAAGCTTCTGTACATAAAGTAATATCCGTGAGGGACGTCTGCTCCATCCATTCCTAATTACCTTCGTGATGTGCGGGGTACAGAGCGACCGCCGGAAAATCCCTGAAACCCCGGTGTTCAGATGATGCGGATGAAAACTTCGTCGATCTGGAATTTACAGACGTCATCGTTCTCGTCTTTAAAGAGAGGTCGCAGGTGTATTCCGTCCTTTGGCATGCGCTTTGCATCCACAAAATGCAAGCTCATGCTTCTAAATATGCAGTCGCTGAACACTTCACTCACAATCCAAGGAAAGCCGCTCAAAGTTGTCGAGCGTTTTACGTATCTCAGAAGG